TCCACGCTGCTCTCCAGCATGTTTTCTGAGATTCTGGTTGTCTCTTGTCTCTTCACAGTTAATATTCACATATTATTTCATACAAAAAGAACCAATTACTTTAAACATGCCAACTTGAAGTGATGTTATTTATAATTATGGTTATTGTATGGAATTAGATAATCTGTTCATTTTAACAATTTTTTAGCAATTATAGAGTAAGGGATTTTTTGAGGTAGAGTCCCTGAGTGGTGCAAATGATTAACATGGTTGGCTGCTAAGTGAAAGATTGGAAGTTTGAGTCATGGGTCATCCTGAGTCCGAGTCAACTCAGTGGCACCTGGTAAGTTGTATAATCTTTTGAGGCTAAAGTAGCCTCATGAAAGGTGATGGCGATGAATAAGTTTGAAATTTCAACCAGAAGCCTCTAAAAAACACCAAGACTAAGTCAAAGCTTAGGTGGAAACATAGATAGGAGACCAGGAAGTCACCCCAATTATGGAGGTAGATGCTAGAGATGAAAAAGACTCACATGAATGGGGTCACCATAAGGTGGTAGGCCAGGTGAACAAGAAGCTCATTTAGACAATAGCAGGATCAAGGTGCAGGAAGACTCAGTATTCAGACAACTAAGCAGGTTGCCAGCAAACTTTACAGAAAGCTAATTATCCAACAAGGAGTATGGTGGGACAGTGGTGAAAGTGCTCAGCTGCTAACCAAACCCATCAGCTGCTCTACAGGAGAAACATGTGGCAATCTGCTTCTATAAAAATTACAGCCTTAGAAACCCTATTGGGCAATTCTACTCTGTCCTGTGGGATCGCTATGAGTCAGAATTGACTCAACAGCAATGAGTATGGTATGGTAATTATCCAACATGGTGGTGCAATGGTTAAACACTTGGCTGCTAACCAAAAGGTTAGTAGTTCAAACCCACCAGCAGCTGTGCAGGAGAAAAGACCTGGTGACCTGCACAACAACAATTATTCAACAAGTATTTAAATTATTAGATGAAGCCCTGAGATCCAGAGGTAGCCAGGCCTACATGACCAGTTCCACCAACAGAGGCCTTGCTGTTTGTTTCTATATAACTGACAATATGAATAGTAATGCAAACTCAGCTTATCCTTCCATATTGCGATTGCACATAACTCTCCCCACTTGCCTGTGAGCCCAACTGCCATGCATGACCCTTACTCAAATTCTCCACCTCCCAGCATCAAGCACGTATCAGACCTTCCGATAGAATGTTTGAATGGGTACAGTCACACTGTCCTGAAAGCTTTCTGTGTCCTTGGGTTCAGCTCCTCCTCTGGTTCACCATGGGATATTTATATAGGTGTCCTGTACAAAGCAGTAAGACTCAAGCACTAGGAAGAGAAACAACTGAAGAGGGGTCCTGAATTTCCTTTCACTAGAGCTTTCCCACAGTCCTTGGGTGGTGCAAATGTTTAATAAGCTTGGCTGCTTACTGAAAGGTTGGAAGTTTAAGTCCATGCAGTGGTGCCTTAGAAGAAAGGCCTGATAATCTACTTCTGAAAATCAGCCATTGTAAACTCTAAGGTGCATAATTCATGGGGTTGCAATGAGTCTTAATTGACTCAATGGCAACTGTTTTTTTAGGGTTTTTCTCCTATTACATTCTCATACTGCCAGAAGAGGATTCTGAAAAATATTCTAGTCAGGTATACAGGGGTGGGGTAGTGGGTTAGTACATGCCAAGCACACAGTCATTGCCTATGGTGAAGAACAAGAAAAAGGAGAAATAGGTGCCTCCTTGGTGTCATCAATTGTCAAATTCCTAAAGTGATTTAAGATGAACACTCTAAAGAAACACATCAAATAAAAATATAAATTAAAATATTTAACAGTCAGACTTCTGGTAAGAAGGAGGAATAGGCAGACAAGTGATACAGACCCTCTTCAACAAAAAAAAGAAAAACCAATTGACAGAGATATAGAAGATAATCCTGGAGCCTTGAGCTTGGAAAGGAACTATGCAGATGTGGATTAGGCACCAACTGGTGGAAAAACCTGAATGAAAACAGTGAGTACAGAGACAGTCAGAGCTGCAGACTATCAGCTACTCTTATGGGACCAATAACCTGAATATTTCCAAGTGGTGTTGGGAACTGAGAATTGACCTAAAGATTAACAATGGTCACCAACAGCTGCAGGGACAACTGCGCTAGTGGCCTATGACTAGGAAGGGAAACAGCAAGGAGGAAAATAACCTAAGCTGTTGACTCTCCGCTGTCCAGAGGGCACAGCCATTTTGATTGTTTATACATGGCAGCCATTTTGGATATTTAAAGTGACTGAGGGTGCAGCCATTTTGATTGCTTATACATGGCAGCCATTTTGGATATTTAAAGTGACTGAGGGCTCAGCCATTTTGAATGTTACAAGCAGTGGCCATTTTTTATATTCAAAGTGATCAAGGACACAGCCATTTTGAATCTTTACAAGTGGCAACCATTTTGAATTTTAAAGTGATAGCACTTCTGATATGGCTTCCAGGCACCTAAGAATAGGCTTTGTTTGCCAAGGTTGGCAGGGACATACGAGAAGCTGACAACAGGAAAGGAGACAGGTGGGGAGTGTATAAGTGCTGTCAACTAGCGAATAGAGAAGCACAGTACCCTGCTTGTGAAGATAACATACAAACAAAACAAAATGAAAATCGTGGACAAGTCACTCCAACATACAATTACCAGTTAAATATAAACAAAAACATCACAATGCCACAGAGACAATAGAGAATCACAGTCCACACAAAGAAGCAAGGTAAAGCAGGAGAACCAGGGAACCAGGATACAGACTCAAAACACATCCCTGAGGAAGATACAGCATTGGAACTCCCTGATAAGGAAATCAAAAGAATTATATTTAGGTATCTTCAGTGAATTGAGGGACAGATCAAGGAAAACACAGAGAAAACCCTATAACAATTTCAAAAGACAATACAAGAATAAAATGACAAAATAAATGAACAATTAGAAATGATACAATCTACAGATAGAAATCCAGAAGATTAATACTAAATCGTCAGAAATAGATATGACTTTGAATGGGCAAAGGAGCAGAATTGAATCAATGGAAGACAGACTTAGGGAGACTGAAGGCAAATACCTGAACACTTCTTTGGAAAGGGATTAATCGAAAAAAAGATCAAAACAAAATGAAGAAAGCCTAGTGCCTAAGGCATTTGACTGCTAACCAGAAGGCTGGTGGTTCAAACCCACCAACCACTCCTCAGAAGGAAGATGGGACAATCTACTTCCATAATGATACTGCCTCAGAAATCCAAGGAGGGGTTGCTATGAATTGGGTCCGACTCGACGACACATAACAACAACAACAACAAGGTTCATGTGGGATACCATCAAAAGGAATAACCTACGTGTCACTGGAATTCCAGAACAGGAAGAGAAAAATGAAACCCCTGAGAAAGTTGTCCAAGATTTGTTGGAAGAGAACTTCCCTGATATGATGAAAGATGAGAATATATTCATTCAGGAAGTCCAACGAAACCCAAACAGGATAGACCCCAAAAGAAAAACACCAAGACATATCATCATCAAACTCACCAAGACCAAAGACAGAGAAAGAATCATGAGAGCAGCATGGGAAAAACAAAAAGTTACCTACAAGGGGCAACCAATAAGACTAAGCATGGATTTCTCAACAGAAATCATGCAGGCAAGAAGACAATGAGATGGTATATATAAAACCCTGAAAGAGAAAAATTTCCAACCAAGAATTATGTACCCAGCAAAACTGTCTCTCAAATATGATGGTGAAATTAGGACATTTCCAGATAAGCAGAAATTAAGGGAATTTGTTAAAACCAGACCAACCTTACAAGAGATGCTAAAGGGA